CCCCCCCCCCCCTCGCCCGTTTCTCAGTCCTTGGTGTACGGTGAGATCGACTTCTGGTCCTTCTATGACGTGATGAAGGTCGCCGCGCACGACATCTACACCGAACCCCGCTGTTACGACGGGCAACGTCAAGACGCGAGCGATCAGGAGTCTCCTCCTCAGTCTTCGTGTCGAGGGGGCAGGGAGGCGGAGGAGGACGACGACGGCAAGGGCGGAGCGGGTATGGGGGAAGGAGGGGAGGTTGAGGAGGAAGAAATGTACACACAGGGAAATGTCGAAGTGGAGGAAGAGGAGGAGGAAGAAGAGGAGGAAGAGGAGTGTTGGCAAAGAAGCAGCGGTCGTGTTCAGGATGGCAGAAACGAGCTCCGCAACGTCGGCTGCGACGGCGGCAGCACGAACGTACCACGGCGCGGGCTGGGGGCGGAGTCGGCGGTGACGGTAGCAGGCAGCAGCCCTGGCGAGAGACGAGCCGGAGAAAGCGGAGGAGGACGAGGGTTGAAGTTCTATGACCTTGGCAGCGGGTCGGGAAAGGCCCTGTTCGCCGCGGTCCTGGCAGTTGACTTTCGGTGAGTCCGGACTAATGAAAATGGCGGGTTTGTTTGTTCCTATGTTCATGCACCAGTACAGAGCTGTTCCTTGCAGTGCAGTAGGGTAGGTTCAGAGATACGGAACCCGATTTGTAAGGAGATTGTGTTTTCGAGAGGTTGTGGTCAACTCATCGAACCATCATCGCTTTCCCGAAGAGTATGCATATCTATCGTGTTTGTAAGGGCGGTTCTCGACACAACCGCGAAGTTCTATTTCTGCGGAGCCCCCCTCTTTCACCTGCACCTTTTGCGGTCCTAAACAACACCGTTTTGGATCGGGTCGCGTTGACCCCCCCCCACCCCCATATCGGTAGGATAGACAGACTAGGGAAGACTTGTTTGAGCCACCTTTGGCAAAGTAGGAGGGAACGATTGGCCATCGGTGATCGGTCATGTTGGAACAATGCTCCGTCCTCTCGAGGACGCGTGGTCAATGGTCTAACCGCTATGGCATGCAAAACATAAGAGTACGCCCCCACCCCCCACCCCCCCCGCCCCCACCATTGCCCCCGTTGACAAAAGCTGCGCGGTAGGGATAGAAGTCCTAGCCGGCGTTTACCGCGCCTCGACCCGAGTGTTGAAGCGCTACCGCAGGCTGGTGGAGCCGGTGTTTTGCACCCCCGCGGACATCGAGTTGCGCAAGGTGAGTGACGAAGCTGAACGGTTCGACGGTCCTTCTCTCTCGCTCCCCTGGACAAACATGAGGGTGAACGTTTTCTTATCAAGCATGCCAGCTCGTAGCTGGAGTAGGTTGTTCATGCAGGACAAGCCAAAGAGAAGCACGACATGCTTCCTTCCCACAACAAGGAAGTGCAGCTGGGAATAGCGTGTACAGGTACTGCATAACTTGGAACCCCAGGGCGCGAAAAAGGACACACGATGAGCAACACGGTGCTAAGGGTGGAACCTTGTAAGACGTATCGACGCTGAACTCGAGCATGTCATACGTCGAATGATTTGAGTGTGAGATAGCATATAACAGACGTGCCCAGGTGGAAAGGCAGAAGGTTCACACACAGAGCGTAGAAATTGTCGCCCGTGCGAAGACGAAAGGAACCTGCATCCTGCATCCTGCATCCTGCATCCTAATAGCGAGCCAATAACACTGCTGGAATTGGGTCTTGAGAGGGAAGCCGGTGATGGTGGTGGTCACAAAGCGTCAGTAACGAAGGGGGACAACATGGCAGACAGGCACCAGAGGGGCCCTCCAGCTCGATAGCGATGACCCGCATCACTTGAGTAGCGGATCTTCAAGCCAGCCTTAATCTTGACCAAAGCAACACCCTAAAACCCGCCACCCCCCCACTCCCATCGTATACAGATGCCCAACCCAGCACCGAAATACTCCGTGAAGCAACAACACATTCATCCCCCTTCGACTATCTGTGTTTTACCGTCATATGTCGGACGGTATATGTCGAACGGGAAATGAGTCTTTCTGTGATTGCACGCATGCTACTTCAAAAAACAAACAGGGCTCTTTCCTGGACCCCGCGTGCGACTGGTCCGACGGCGACCTGGTGTTCGCCAACTCCACCTGTTTCGCCGAGGACACCCTGCTGGCCATCGCGAGAAGGGCAGAGCTCCTGCGGCCCGGGGCGCGCGTGGTGACGTTCACGACGGCCCTCAAGACCTTCTGGCTGAGAGTGCTCACGAAGAGGAGATACCAGATGTCGTGGGGGCCGGCGACGGTATTCGTTCACCAGAAGCTGAGGTGGGCCTCCCGGGGGAGTGTACTCATGAACACGCATGCCGTAGTCGTTAGGCCGTTGACTTCGCATCCCTACATACGCCGCGACGGAGCGGTAGGTATGCCGGGTTTTAGCCGGCCCAGGCTAAGTTTCACGAGGATGAAACCAGAAACTGGTCATTATCCTTGCGTTTGCTGTGCCGAACCACATGGTGGGGGGGAGTGACGCGTGGGACGCGAAGGCTTGTTGTTTGCTTGTCGCTTTCTGGTCTCCTCTCATTGTGGCCGTTTTGACGTGGTGTGATGGCGGGATGCAAGAAGGAGCTGGTGGAGATTACCTACCGCTGCGACATAAAATATATATTTTTATGTATATATATATACTACTCGTCACGGGTAGTTCGTGGGAAACTGTGCGACCACGCCAAGGCATACAATAAGAACAAGTACGGCAATTTTATATGTACCATTCTGCCTTTGGTCTGGGCACGTCAATCGTCATCAAGTTGGCAAGCTCAACTGTAACACCCGCCCGCCCGTCTCGACTCGTTCCCATTTTTTGGTTGTCGTGTTATGTCGTGGTCTATCCCGTCGTCTGTTGTCGATGTCGCCCCCGCTGCTACTGCTGCTCTTGTTGCCTCGTGCACGCCGGCCACGCTGTTCCTCCTGTTGAAAACGACGTCAACGTCGACTCCCAACCACCCAACATCTGTTTGACAACGGCGCCAACGTCGTCAACCAACGACCCAACATGATGAACCACCACGGACGAACCGAATCGATCAGTCGGGAGGAGTACGCCAGGCGGGTGGCGGGGAAGGAAAATACCCCTTTCGATGAGGACCAGGGGGTGGCAGCGCGGGCCGTTAGCCTCCCCCCGCGCGCCGCCCCCAAAACCAACACCGCTAGGGACAAGCTTAAGCTTTTACCATCGCCATCGTTGTTAACAGAAGCAGCAGCACTAGTACCGGCCCCCGTCCTTTTGGCGCCGGCATGGTCGTTCCCCTCCTCCCTGGCGGCGGGGGGTGCGGGCGATTGCTTCGGCGCTGCTAGCGACGACGTAGACCGGAAGTGGGGGCATTGCGGAGACGATGGCGGTATCGGGGACGGGGAGGAGGAGGAGGAGGGGGAGGAGGAGGAGAGGGAGGAGGAAGGAGGAGAGGACGGGTTTCGCAGGGGTTGTGGCGAAGGCCCTGGAGATGGCTGTGAGACGGAGGAGGAGGAGGAGGAGGAGACCGGAGGCAGCGACAGCAGCAGTAGCACCAGCAGGTGTGCGGCAGGAGGAGACGCGGGGGGGCGAGGGGCGCGGGGAGAGGGCGCCCCACTGGCATGCTGTTTGTCCTGGCCCCGAAGGCCTTCGCACTGCTAGATGGTACAGCCAAGTGGCGGGTTCTGCGCCACGTGCGTCTGAGTCATTCTTTTTTGGGAGGAACGCCTTTATTTTTTTCACCCTTCCTCTTCGTGGATGGGTATGTGGTGCTTTCCAGTGCCGTCGTCCTCGTTTCGTCTTTGCTTACCGTGACGCGATCACCGGCCACACGGTGCGTTCATCCCACGAAAAAGGTGCGAGAAATGGGTGCGTTTTGCTGACGAACGCGCTCACATTGTCGCAAATAGCGCGGGTGAGCACGGAGAGATGCACCTGATTCGTCCCGCGTTAAGAAGAAGCGAGGACGGGACAAGTGCTCACGGATCAACCCTCGACGCACAACACACCCGGGGTGCAACTTAAGTTTGCCGTTGAGCCCGGCCATTGTCTGACGGTGCGTCTGACTGACAGGTATTCCGTGGTGAAGACGGTGATACAAGGGGGCGTTTGTTGGTGACTTTTGCTCAAGCAACGTCGGTCTTAGCGTGTGTAAGTGTGTGACATGTGTTGCCCCGTGTGTTCGTTGATGTTGGAACTTTTCCGTACAGCGGGGGGGCCTCTCGGCAACGCCTGCATGTGCGAGGCTAATCGACCGGCGCTTTTCAGAAGGACCGGCGCTAGCAAAGCAAACAAAACCTTGCTTGATGATTCAGTTTGTGCCCAGTCATTTCACCGGCGCTCTGTATGCAGGGGCACCGGCGCTATTCAATCGGCGTTGTTGAGTCCCTCCCAATATATGCTTCTTGGACACACCAGCCGGGGCCACACAGTCGAGGGGAAAGCCTTTTCTTTTGCTCCGCCTTATCCCTTCCGCGGTGCTTGCTTTGCTGACGACCAAAACACACGAAAAACAAAAAAGCGGTACGAATCTAGGTCGTTTGTTTTTGCGGGAAGCACCCGTCCATCCGGAGATGCTGATATTTTTTACACAGGGGGGGGGGTCAAGATGCCAACGAAACACGGTACATGCGTACAAACATCGACTTCATAAGTCGCGAGGGAAGGGATTGCTGTACCCTTCTCGCAGGAACCGCAGGAGGGGGTCCAACCCCCCCCCTCCTATGTGACCCCGGTTGGGTCGTCTAGCTGGTAGGAGTGGAGGATAGGTGCCAGAGGGGCAGACGACAGAGTCCAATGATGGGAGAAAAAAAACAAAAAACCACCTTTTCCCCGTCTCGCGAGCACGTGCTCGCTTGCACCTTCTGAAGACAAAAAAAAAGTGGTTCTTCGCTCTCTCCACCACACGAGGTAAGCTGTTGTCAGTCCTTCCCGGTTTGCCGTCCTCGCCACCCTACAACGGAAAACTGACTTCCTTGCAACCAATTTCCTACACTCTGTGCCGTCCCCTCGAAAGGCAGAAATAAGCTTGCGTTGCGCGCTGACGACCGGATGGTTCCCAACACCTAAAGCGCGGTTGCGGGTATGCAAGCACCGAGCACAGCAAAACATATGCGCGAACCCGATATGATTGTACCGAGCAGCGACTCCTCGCAACAAACATCTGCAGGACAAAACAAAAAAGTCTGCCAGCTTCCACGCCTTGCCTGTTTTACGATGTCTTCGGCGCGTGTAGTACAGCAAAGGGCGCTGTTGCATCTCGCCCCCCCCCCTCTACTTGCACCCTTCCCTCCACCGCCTTCTTCAGTGTAAAAAACACCCATAAACATGAGACATCTGACAAGATGCCCGCCGGGCAACAAGTACGTCCATTCGTCGTTGTGAAGACGGCAAACACCCCTGCGTTGATCACGGTCACCCTGTGCCCCCGCCTTGCACAATAGCCCACCCAAACCTCACGCGGTCCATCATGTAGGTATTCATATGCATACATGCGTACATACATGCGACTTGCCTCTCGAGGGGGCGTTTTTCTTCGCAATTGGCCCAAAGGTGGGGTGGCGCGCGGCACAAAGGAGTGGGCGATGGTGCTCAGGTTGTGTGTGGCCACGTTACAGCAGCAGCGCTGCCGGATCCTGCACCGGCAACAAAAAGCGAGAAAGAAACAACACCAGGAACCCAAGGCCGGACAAACCACATGCCGGAGAAAACAAACGAAAAACGTGTTTCAAGCTTGCGACAAAAACAAATCGTGCCATCGAAGCATGCAGTGACACGCGCAGAATCTCGCGTCGGGAGGTGACCTCAGTCCCGTCGTCGTCGTGGCCGTCATCATCATCATCATGGTCAGCCCAGCGCCCCCTGTCTTGGGCACGTCTCTCGCCCGTGTGAGTGTCATCGATCTTTCTTCGCTTGCTGGATCACCGTCCCGGAAAAGACGAGGCCGTGGCAGAACCAGTGGCGGTGGTGGCAGCGGCAGCGGAAAGTGGTGGTGGTAGTATAAGTCGCAGCGAAAGGCGGTGTGTGGGGGGTGAGAAGTGCTGTGCGCCTCTGAGGGTACTGGTGACCAGCGCCATCCCGCTAACATCAAGGTTCCGGGTCAATAATTTCCGCTCACGAAACAAAGGCCCTCCGGGCAGATGAGGGCCCCGAGATCCGACGGGAACGACTTTTACAATTTATCACCAGTCGCGCCGCTGTACCTGGTAGTTACTACTGTAGGAATGCACAAGAAGATCTCGGGTGATGAACACTATCACAATAGTATCATACCTGGTCCCCCGCCTGGTTGAGGGTAGCGATGAAATTTCTCCGAAGGTTCTCGAGGATGTCGTCGCCGCCGTCTCGGTCCGCATCTTCCAAGTCCACCTACAATACACACACCGCCGTATTGCATCATTCCACCGGTGGACGCGCGGACCGGATGGGGGGGGGGGGGGGG